TACTTGTTTGTTGGTGCTGTATTTTCTCAAGGCTAAACATATCTTAATACACAAAATTCTTCTTGGTTTCTAGGCCCTTCTCCATCTTCACAGCCTTCTTCCAGATATATTCCTGTTTGTCAAGTGGCATGTACTTCCAGTCATTAATGGATAATTACTGGAGCTCACTTCTGAATGCTAATGCTATTGGAAAGCTCAACAATTAAATCCTCTTCTCCAAATCTCTCACATGGGGGCATGGGCATAGAACAGGGGTGGGGAATGATGGCTTTTTTATGACTTGTAGACTTCAACTCCCAGAATTCCTGAGCCAACCATGCTGGCTCAGGAATTCTGGGAGTTGAACTCCACAAGTCATAAAGGGGCCATCGTTTCTCATCTCTGGCATAGAAGAATGTGAAGTGCAAGCCGAAAGGACTCTCTGGGAGACAGACACTTAAGTCTTCTCTCTGTTGATAAGGAACATAAGAAGGCAAGTTAGTGACCCAGCAAGAGCATATGAGTTTTGTCTTACCCATAAGCCTCTTTTAGCCCAAACCACTATGAGTGGGAAAGAGCTCAGGGCTTATTCTCACTTCCCATGTAAATCACCCATTTAACCTTCATGCTCCAGAGATACCAACAGGCTGGTTGGCGTTATTTACTGCTGATGTTACAATTGGACTCTTTATCACCAAATGCAACAGCCAGGTAAGTTTATCAAGAAGCACTTTTGCTAATCAGCCACGAGGTGACTTCAGGCCAGCCCACGCTGGACATACAAATGAACATTCACTTCTCCCAAGAAGAATCATAAAACATAGAAGCAATCAAGAGGAGCAAAAGGCTACAGAACTGAAATGAGAAAAAGTCCTCTAGGCAGAACTGCAAACCTTGTCAAGGAAAGAAATATATATTGTTTCTTTCCTTTACTGCAGAAGCTCCCTCCCCACTCCTGTTCTTCTCTGGATCAGTTACTTTTCCATTTTGTTTTCAATCCACACCCTAATTTCTTCCTCTCTGTAAAGAAAAAACAATGAAATTCATAGCCAGTGAATTCTTTCCTTCCTTCTGGTTTGATTGGTCATGGAAAGGGAGGCAAATTGGCCATGTGGGATCAGAAATAATAAACTTTGGACACTGCAGTTTAAGATCTTAAACTTTTATGAAAGAAAGAAAGAAAGGGGGGGAAATGGGAAGGAGGAGATGAGAGGAAGGGAGGGAGGGAAGGAAGAAATTGCATCAAAGACAAATATAAGATCTTTTTCAATATAAAAGATGCATCTACTTCGACATTTTATTTCAACAATCAAGACTTCATTCTAGAAGTCAACTTCAAAGGTTCAGTTGAGCCCAAACCAAAGCACTGATTTACGATGTATTTATTCTTCATTTTCTTTGTGGGTTTTCCCACCCCACATTTTAACCTCATTATGAAAGAATGAGATACAGAACCAGAAATCCCTTCAAAGCCCATCCAGTGAGTTTCTATGCTGAGTGGGGGCTAAAATCTGGATCTGTCCATGACCTCTTTTATCTCCAGACAATAGGATTACCAACCTGCTGACTCAAGTGGTCAACGTTACAGTCCGATGCCACTGGATTGAAAGCTACAAGCAGCTTTCTCAGTGACAGTTCATTTTGCACAGAGCAGCTCAGGTTCATCTTAATATTTGCATCCCACTTTTTCTTCCAACTCTGAACACCGAAGCAACTACGCAATCATGCCAAAATAACAATGACAGCAATATTAAATCCCTAAAACTAAATTCCACAACAAACTACTAGTGAAATTTCAAAGGCCTCCTTATTACAATTAAACCAGATGCCCAACTGCCAACCCCCCCCCAAAAAAAAAACCCTTCGTAAGTAGGATGTGGCTTACATTACAGAAACTCAATCATGGTACCAAATGCGCGGAAATTAAAATCAACTTCATACCATTCCACTACTTCAGTAAATAGTACTGAAACAAAAGATGCAGCACGTAACTATAATCAAGAACAGACTGCCTTAATGCTTTCCGCTCCAGAAAACAGCCTCTGTAGCTAAGATGACAGGATACACCCTCGAAGTGAAAACGTTCACCCTGCAGCCAAGAAAAGAAACACTGGAAACTGGAATCAGCATTATACAGGCCAGCTTCCCCTTTTTACACTGGTTTGTCCAGCTTCATCTTGGCCAATGTGTGAAGCCGGCCACTAACTTTTCCTGCTCTTTCTGATGAAGATGGAGATCAAATCTGGGACCCTATGCAGAGCATTAACTCTCTTACCTACTCAAGCTAGCTTTGGACCTTCTCACTAGGTACGTTTGCTCCTTTCACCAGGGCATAGCCATGATCTGCTCCACTTAGTACTAACTTCTTTAGGAATTAACCACAATCTGGTGCCCATCTCAGCTACAGTCTCCTCCCTTCTTCCTCTCCTAGGTTGGAGATTCAAGAGAGGGGCCACAATTCTGGGACATCTTCACACCCAGCAGATCTCCAAGCTCAGTTCTTCCTTCCTCAAAGAAATCCAGCAAGTCCTTCCTCAAGCAGTAACACTGCTTTCTGTCTGGACAATTTCAGAGTCCTATTGGATCGAGGGTTGGATGGCCAACTGCTAGAACAGCTCTCCCTTGGATGACACACTTCAAAGGTACCGAACCGCAATTTTCATCACCCCCAACCTGGGCTGGGAAAATGACAGCTGATATCCAAGGTCTCTGGAGAACAGTGGTGAAGAAGGCCTAGTTAGGAGCAGAAGAGAAAGGTGGACAAGCAGCCAATACCCCAAACTGTGAATTGGGTGTGTCTAGTTTAATGAAAAGAAGGAGTGACATGATAGCCGTCTTCCAATATCTCAGGGCCTGTCACAAAGAAGAGGGAGTCAAGCTATTTTCCAAAGCACCTGAAGGCAGGACAAGAAGCAACGGATGGAAACTAACCAAAGAGAGAAGCAATCTAGAACGAAGGAGAAATTTTCTGAAAGTTAGAACAATTAATCAGTGGAATGACTTGCCTCCGGAAGTTGTGGATGCTCCAATACTGGAAGTTTTTAAGAAGAGACTGGACAGCCATTTGTCTGAAATAGTATAGCAGTGGTTCTCAACCTGTGGGTTGGGACCCCATTTGGGGTCGAACGACCATTTTACGGGGGTCGCTAAACAACGCAGTCCACCATTTTGTTCCCCTTTTCCTTAGCTGTGCTACTCCCTTTTATTCCATTGGCTTTTGAAAGCCAATAGAATAGACTCTCTGGAATAGAGTCTAATTCTATTGGCTTTCAAAAGCCAATAGGAATTGTCCAGGCTGTCTCTGCCCTGCTGAGCCGCCAAAAGTCCCATTCTGCAAATGGTGCTGCACCAGTTGAGTAGTCCTCGACTTACAACCGGTTGAGTAGTCCTCGACTTACGACCGGTTGGGGGTTGCGGCATTAAAAAGTTGAGAACCACTGTAGCATAGGATTTCCTGTCTGAGCAGAGGGTTGGACTAGAAGACCTCCCAGGTCCCTTCCAACTCAGTTATTCTGTTATTAGCCTTGAACTTTTGTTTGGGCTCCTTTTGATGCATCCCTGATGAAAAAGACACACCCACATTGTACTGACTGAGCGGTCCTTTCCCATCCCCATCACTCAACTCAATCTCCCCTCTCCTGCCCCAGGAAGAAATGCACTATTTCCTGGCAAGCAGACCAAATAGTACCTTCAAGACTCAAGAGCACAAAGCAGCTTCAAGGCAACCTGTAACCTCCATCCTACCAGTGCTACCATCTCCAGCCCAGTCCTTTTTCTTAAAATCAATCAATCAATCAGAACAGAGTTGGAAGGGACCTTAAAGGCCTTCTAGTCCAATCCCCCTGCTCAAGCAGGAAATCCTATACCAGTGATGGCGAACCTTTTAGAGACTGAGTGCCCAAACTGCAACCCAAAACCCACTTATGCATTGTCGGGTACCGGGTGGATGTGGCCCATTGGGTGGGCGTGGCCCATTGGGTGGGCGTGGCTACAGTGGTAACGGCAGACTGGGTGGGACTAAAAAGTTCAGTCAATCAATTCTAACTTTGCAAGATCTTTTTTTTTCCGTGAGAAGTTGAAATTGACTGATTGAACCTTTTTTTTGTTTTTTTGCACATGGCAGCGGAGGCCTAAAGCAAAAAGGTTTTATAAAACCCAGCTGAAGGCCTAGGACTGGGGCGATGGCGCACGTGCCCACAGAGAGGGCTCTAAGTGCCGCCTCTGGCACCGGTGCCATAGGGTCGCCACCACTGTCCTATACCATTTCAGACAGATGGCTGTCCAGTCTTTTCTTAAAAACCTCCAGTGATGACACACCCAAGCTGTTCCACTGGTTAATTGTCTTCGCTGTTAGGAAGTTTCTCCTTAATTCCAGGTTGCTTCTGTCCTTAATTAGTTCCTATCCATAGTTTCTTGTCTTGCCTTCTGGTGCTTTGGAAAAATAAGTTGACCCTCCTCTTCTTGGTGGCAACCTCTCAAATACTGGAATGCTGCTATCATATCCCCCTTAGCCCTTCTTTTCTCTAGGCTAGACATACCCAATTCCTGCAACCGCTCTTCATATGTTTTTGTCTCCAGGGCTTTAATCCTCTTAGTTGCTCTCCTTGGCACTTTTTCCAAAGTCTCGACATCTTTTTTTTTGCAACGTGGTGACCCTTCGGGTGATTTTGATTCTGTGCCTCTGTTTTAGACAATCAAGGATCGCTTGTATAAATTCCTTCCTCCCCGAGGTCAAGCACCCCCTCTCTCTTCTAAGCCATCACAAGACGCGCCCCGCCGCGCGTTTCCCGATCGCCCCAAATCTCCCCGAGGGGAGCCGGGAAGAGGACCCGCTCCCCGGCCCCCGGGGAAGGCAGCCTCCTCCAAGCCGCGGAATCGGGGATCCCTGCCCCACCCACGCACGAGCCGAAGGTCCCGAGGCTCCACTCGCTCCCACTCCTTACACCGTCCCTCCCCCGCCACTCTCCCCTCCCCTCCCGCGGGACCCCGGATAGCCCCGCCACACACACCCCCCCTCGTACCGCTCCTTCGGCGAGTCCATTCACTGGAAAGTTCCGTCTCCCCCTTTTCTTTTTCTTCTCCTCGCTCGAGACTCCGGAGAAAGGCAGGCAGCGAGGAGAGGCGGGGTTCCCCGCGAGGACTCCCTTCTTGAGCTCGGTCCTTCTTCTTGCCCGGACCGGAGCGCCTCACTTAATGCCCGACGCCGTCGGTCCCCCGCTTTTCCTCTCGGCAGCCTGACGGACGCTGGGCAAGCGGGAAAGGGCCGGCGGGAGGCGGGATCGACCCAGACGTTCAGCCTCCCCCCCCCCCCACACACACACACTCTTCCACTCCCAAAGCAAGCCGCTCGTGCGCTGGGGGCGCGCCGGCTTCGCCTTCGCAGGCTCTGGGACGCGCGCGGGAGGGGCGGCGGCGGAGGAGGAGCGCATTGTCTCGAGGCTGGGGCTGGGAGGGGGCGGGGCTCCGGCAAACCCCTCCCCACAGGGCTGGTTCAAAGCAAAATACCCGCCCCGCCCCCCCGTCACGCCCCCCCCCGCGCCCGGTTCTAGGCGATGATCCAAAAATGGGCGCCTTTCCCGACGTGGGAAAGCGAGAAAGGCGTTTTCCTTTCGCGAGAAAGGGAAAGCTGGGCGGGAGCGGATCCAAAAATAACGAATCTGTTCGGCATCTGGGGGGGGGGGGAGTTGCAAGGCTCGGTACCTCATAGGCGGCCACGGTTAGAAGCGGTCGCGCCGGCAACCCGATTCTTTTAAAAAAAAAAAAAAAGTTTCTAGCCCGCATCGGGGCTAAAAAAATGCCATCTGAACGGATCGATGCAATCGGACGGGAGCTCTTTAGGGAGACCTCTTGAGAAACGAGTTGGCGTTGGGGTTTTCCCCAAAGCTTGACTTAAGGTTGGAGTTCAGACAAAGGGGAAGGTTACGAAATCCGGAGAATGGAAAGAGGATAAAAGTCACCTTGTGAGTTGGGTGGCCATATAAATCTATTAAATAAATAAATAAAGCCCATCATGGCATAGGGTCAGGTTACTTACAGGACCGCATTCTGCCGCATAGCTCCCAGAGACCGATGAGGTCCCATAGATTGGGCCTCCTTCAGGTCCCGTCGGCCAGACAATGTCAGCTGGCGGGCCCTCGGGGAAGGGCCTTTTCTGTGGTGGCTCCAACCTGGTGGAATCAACTTCCCCCCCCCGGGGTTCGAACTACTCCCACCCTGCCGGCCTTTAAGAAGGCCGTTAAAACTCTCCTGTTCCGGCAGGCCTGGGGCTGATGTCCTGGGGGGCGGGGGGCGGGATATGATCGGACTTGCGGTATGACTGGATTATTTTATTGTTTTATGACTGTTTTTAACTTTGTACGCCGCCCTGAGTCCTTTGGGATTGGGCGGCATATAAATATTTGTAAATAAATAAATAAATGATAGATAGATAGACAGACAGACAGACACATACAGAAACCTTGAGGTTTAGTGTACCTCACAATCTCAGCATACAACCTACAATTCCCCTCCCCCCCATTCCATATGGCCCGCTTTTAACATTGTATCCAAAATAACCTGGACAATTTACAATAGGTAAGGTAGTCCTAATGTAGGGAGATTTGCTTACCAACCATGTGATTTGACTGAGGTGACTCATTTTATGACCATTGTAAAAGCAGTTGTAAAATCAAGTCCCATCAGGTGGTGCCTAGACCTATGACCCACAATGACTTACACACCAAAATTCTGAGCTCCATTGAAGACTGTTTGTCTTGAAGACAATACATGGTATTGATGCAAGTACAGGTAACCCTTAAGTTACGACCAGAGTTGAGCCAAAATTTTCTGTGGCTAAACTGTTGTGAATTTTGCCAAAGGTCTTCAGCAGAGCCCTGAGCACAAGACAACAGAGGCAGAAAGGAGCATTTCTTCCCAGGATAGACAATTCTCTCGTTGCTGACACTGCACAAAGTTGGTCGTTGTGGGGAAAATAGCAAGACAGTTGTGAAATGAGTTTTGCCCTATTTTGTGACCTTTCTTGCCACAGTTCTTAAGTGAATCACTGCAGGGTGTTGAGTTAGTAACACGGTTGTTAAGTGAATCTGGCTTCGCCGTTGACTTTGCTTGTCAGAAGGTCACAAAAGTTGATCCCATGACTTCTGGATACTGCAACCATTATAAATACGAGCTGGGTGCCAAATTTTAATCCCATGACTAGGGGGATGCTGCAGGGTTGTGTGAGAAATGATCACAAATAACTTTTTTCAGTACCATTGTGACTTTGAACAGTTACTAAACAAATGGTTGTAAGTCCAGGACTACTTGTATTCCCAGAGTCTCTCATTTGTGAGCTGCGTAACATGCCAAGTGCTGCAACTTAACATTTCATTTCTGTAGGTAACTGATGGGAATTAAATGCTCTATTTTTAATGGGCATTGAGAGTAATGGACATCTGTTCCCACAGATAATCTGTTACACCTGGAGTCAATTTCTGTAATACAATTTATTTCTAGGCTACAGACAACCATACATATAACTTGGCTGCCCAGGTCTGTTTACATGAGAGCAGTTGGGATCTGCTACATAGGGACATACATGGGAGCGTTCACCTGTGACGCATGTTAGGAGGGTGTAGCTACCATCACAACCACTATCTGGATTTTCACTTCTACCTGCTGATGCCATAATAATAATAATAGTAATAAAGTTGGAAGGGACATATTTTGGTGTGAGATGTTCAAAGCAGGGCACTGCTGAATTCTGTGGCAGGATTCATGCATTATGCTAAGGCTTAAAGTGTGGTTTGCTGAGTTTGGATTGAATGTAATGTGTGACTCAGATACTGAGATTGATCATTCATGTTTTAAAAGACTTAGAATTATGTGTCAATCAGACCGGAATGGCTTGTTTTCAGTAAACTATGATTTAGCACTATTTTTAACTGTGATCTCATTTGGATGAGACTTTTAGGTCATACTGCGGTTTGGGGTAATAGGTATGAGCCATGCTGGCACAGTGGTTAGGATGCAGTATGGCAGGCTAATTCTGCCGACTGCCAGCAGTTCAATCTTCACTGGCTCAAGGTTGACTCAGCCTTCCATCCTTCCGAGGTTGGAAAATGAGGACCCAGATTGTTGGAGGGGCAATATGCTGATTTTGTAAACCACTTAGAGTGGGCTGGAAAGCACTATGTAGTGGTATATAAGTCTTAAGTGCCATTGCTATTGCTATCTGACTTAATGCCAGATAATAAAAATGCATGTCTGTTGGAACTTGGTGGCTAATAATCAATCAATTTAATAATGATAGATAGGCTGTCGTTATCAGACTGTTCCTAGTTTTCAGCTATAACAGTCTTTAGCAGAGACACGGGAGCACAAGATACTATATGCAGAATTGAGCCTTTCTTCCTGGGATAGACAATTCTTTCATTGCTGACACTGCACAAAGTTGTGGTGAGGAAAATAGGAGGAGGAAGGTGTGTTGGATATGTTTGCCACCTTGAGTTACTTGTAAAAATAATAAAGGCAGGATACAAATAAACAAAATAAATGTGAGAAACAGTCATACAGTAATTCAGATGAGAAGCAGCATTCACATATGCAGTATGGAATTGGGTAGGGGGGAATCAGAGCTGGTCACACCAATGAAGCTTAAATATTCAGCCCTATCTGTCATTCTTTATTTGATATACCCCGCTGCCTTATCTGTTGGAGTGAATTTTAATTTTGTTGGCATTTGTATTTGGAGACCTAGGCATGGAGTTCTGGAAAGTCTTTTTTAACAACAGCATGGCGTGTTTGCTCCTCTAGTGTTTGGTGAGCTTAATAAGGCCGCACCTGGAATATAAAATCCATTTTTGGTCACCACATTTAAAAAAGGTGTTGAGATTTTGGGGAAAAGTGCAGAGAAGAACAACTAGGATGATTAAAGGCCTGGAGACTAAAACATGTGAAGAACGGTTGCAGGAATTGGGTATGACCAGTCTAGAGAAAAGGACTAAGGGTGGGTGACATGTTAGCAGTATTCCAATATTTGAGTGGCTGCCACAAAAAAGAGAGTGTCAAACTAATTTCCAGGAGACACAATAAGAAGTTCCCTCATCTCTAGCTACACCGCCTAGAACTACAGAGATAACGAACTGCAGACTGTAGAGTTAAGATAATTCAGTAGGAAACACCATACAAGATGGATTTTTGCTTCTTTCTGCCATTATAATCTTAATTTTACTGCTCAATGTTGTGTTTTCTCCTCCAAGAAGGCCTATATTTACACATCTTGAGTACTGGCATCCCTATCTTGGGAAGGCATTATTGTTAATGTATTAGTATAATTATCTTCATCCTCACGTCATACAGTCAAAGCATCTGTGATACCAAGTTCTCTGATCTGCTGAAGGAAAACCAAATCCAGATATGCTGATCACCACGATTTCTACAGAAAGAGCCACACCACAATGCCGAACAATCCCAAAATCATGTGCACCCAAGTGCCCAAATCATGTGAGATCCAAGGATAGACACTATGTAGGAGAATGCTAGCAAAAAATACTTTTCCTTCTCAATGGTGCTTTTTCAAGAGGCAACTGGACTTTCTTGTTTTTCCTTTGAAGATGTTTCACTTCTCATCCAAGTAGTTTCTTCAGGTTTGACTGGATGGCGGAGAGTGGGAGAATTTATATTCCTTGCAGGCAGCTGGTCATTTCCGTTCTTTTAGAGAATCATTGAGGCCACCTGGAAGTTTATCTGTGTCCTCATGGTTATCTGAGTGGTGCAAATGGGTGTGGAGCCTTCTTGGAACTGCTGAAAGGACTGTGTTGTAGACTGGAGATAGATAATGTCGTATCCCTCCCCCTCTGTTGAGAGAGGGCTGTTCAATTTTGACATAGATGGCCTCTTTGACCCCTCTTTCAAACCAGCGGTCCTCTCTGTCCAAAAAGACTTTGCCAACTTCAAAAGAGTGGCCTTTGTTTTTTTAAATACCATGCCTTTATGAAGTAGTTGTTTTGTTTCCCCAGTGTACAGATCTGCGCAAGTCTCACTGCATTCTACTGCATACATACTACGTTGCTCAGGTGTTTTATCCTTGAGGTGGACAAGTTTCTGCCTTAGTGCATTCTTGGGTTTAAAGCGTCTACATATGTTGTGTTGGCTAAAGATTCTTCTGAGCTTTTCAGATATTCCTTCCAGATATTTCCTTCCGCTCAGACTTGGTTTGTGTGCAGTATTAATATTATAAATCTTGAGTATTAACTTCAGAGTGCAAGGGCCAAAGTCCATGGTCTATTGCAACAGTAACTATGTTTACTATTTGCACCAATATAAATAGTGATGGAACAGAAAGCAGAGAACTGGAATATGAGCAGTCGGTTAAAA